CAGCACCGTGGTCAATTCCAGGCTCGAATCTCGAATCTAAAATTCAAACACATCATAAACTTTGGTCAAAATGTTTCCTCATCATCATGTTGCATGTTGTTGCTGCTGACGCGGGTGGCCTCCATTGCCACTTGCAGCTGCGCCTCTTGTGGCATCCTCCTGCCCACCCACCAGCTTCCTCTTCCACAATTTGCCGTGCTGTTGGCGAACATTCCACCCACTGTGGCAGCTACCTGATTGTTATTTATCGTCTGGACATTATGAAAGCCGCCGAGTGCAGAGAGGGCTGGAAGGCGTGGCACACACTCACGCAATGTGCGGCAGCTGGTACATAAATCGTATAATGAGCTCCACAGTGACTGTCAAACTGTGAGGCAGCATTGTTCGTCTGTAGTGGAGCGCGTATCAGAGGCTGTTTGTATGCTCGGATAAGCATCGATCCAACAGCAAGATGAAGAAGCAGAAAATGACGCAGAAGAAGAGGCAGAGAGCGAGGAAGGCAAAAAAAACATTGTCCGTTGCATCTACTTACAGTGCGTTGTCTGTTGCGGGTTGTTGTTGCTGCTGCTGTGGTTGTTGCTGTAGCTGTCTACGTCGCATCAAAAACGCACAGTGGGTCAAAGTCATGATACAAAAGTAATAAATTACAACATTTTTAATTTCAATATAAATTAAAATAATTAAAAAATGGCCTATCTACATATTATTATACATGTTTAGGCTTAAAATCTAATGAACTAAAAATAAAATAATTTTATTTTAAGTTTTTCAACTCTTATTCACGTTTGTATAAGAATTTAAAACAAACTCATTTCCAATTTTCAGATCAAATTTGAAAGTTAATTGTTTTAAGCATGCCAGCTGGAGCAATCTTTCAAATATTTTAAGTTTTCATCTATTTTCCACACTTGCCAGCGGATGCCAAGCAAAAATTCTTCATTTTCGTCACAACAGTTAAGTGCTGTGCGAACTTTGTTGCTCTTGTCTCCACCCATTTAGTACTCTGCGCTGCTGATCAATCAGTCAATCAGTCAATCATTCAATGATTCATTTACCTTACATAATTTATAGACAACATTTGCTGCTCCACTGTGCGCTGTTCGACTCACGTGGCTGATTTCATAAAGACGATAGCACCAGCGTCAGCCCCAGCCACAACAAGAGTAGTAGCTGCTAACGGCTGCCTTTTCCTTGGAACAACAAATAAAACAACACAAAAAATAATAAACAAATTTTGCCTTCGCCTGTCTATCTCTCTCGCTCTCCCTCACTCTCTTTCTCTCTCTCTCTCTCTCTCTCTCTGTCTGCATTCGGCTAATTTGAAACTTTTCCCCAGACACGTCTTCTATGAAAAACGAAACACAGCTTACTTCCATTTCAGTTCACTGGGCTGCCCAAGCTCTGCCCCGCTCTTTTCAGTGCTACTTCGCTCTCCCACTCTGCCACTCTTCGCTCTCGTCTCTCTGTTTCTTCACCTCCTTTCAGCTGATCGTCTGGAGGCTGAGACGTTTACTTTATGGTCGCTTCGGGCACTTGGTCACATTTTGTTTACTTGTTTAACAACCAGATTAGCAACAGCCACAACAACAACAACAACAACAACAACAACAACAAAATTATCAACAACAAAAACTTCTTGTACAACCTCCAAACACGAGTCGGCGGCGCCTTTTGACCCATTCGCTAACATTTTGTTGTTTATTTGTTTATTATTTAAAATATTATAAAATAGGTTTCGTTTAACGGAAATGTAAAACATGAGAGTGTTTAAAACAAATATGGAATAAGACCTATTAAATCTAGTTTAATGTCAAATTGATAATAATGATAAGATGAAATAAGAGCTTGGCAGACGGGCCTACCCGACTATTTAAGAAAAGAATCGAATTGCCACGCCCCGCTGGTCGGCTTTTATTACACAGTAAAGCGTTCTATAAAAAAGTCAGTCGAATCGATAGCAATGCGGACAGTGTAAAAAACTAATATACAGTTGTAATCACAAAAATAGTAGTACGAAATGTTGTACAACACAATTTGGTGATGCACTCAATACTTTGAAAACTTTTTGAAATGAAATTAAAAATTAAAAAATTTTGTATAAATTTTAATAGTTTGTTTTGGTTTCAAACTTTAGTTTCTTTTATACTTATTATTATTTTAGTTGTTCATCAAAATTGTTGTGACAACTAAACAACTAAAAAAAACCTATTAAACATTATTATATTTTATTTTTTATTATATATTATTATTATACACATTTCTTTGGTCTAATACTTAGTTGTTTTCTATTGTTTTTTATAGCTGCTTGGCACCTGCGTGGCATGGAATCAATAAGCTACCTGTTCATATGTTGCTCAAGTCAACGGCTGACCTAATTCGTATTTTATTTCTTTTGCTCTTGTCTATTCTCTTGCAAGTTAGTTTTAAGTCTTCCTGTAGGGCTTTCAGGCTTCTTCTGATAGTGAATGTGATAGGAGCTGTGCATCAAACAATATTTTCAATTTATTTATAAAATATCTAGCAGGTAAAATTCTCTTTTCTGCCGAGATCAATTATTATAAAATAAAAAAAAGCCAATTAACTAGATTCCAATAGCTAAAATATAACATACTAAAAACCAATTACTGTTGATACATTTTATTTGTAACATAATATTGATATTTATTTTCTTCAACTACTTTCATCCAGCACTATTATTTCTATGAACAATCGCTCTCCAATGCATCTCTCTAACATCGTGGAAAAATAATAAATTCTGACCAAAAGTAATAGGGTTTTTGTGTAATTGTATTCTTTATATTCTATGCTAAACAAATAGAGGGCATTATTTTATTTCTAATCGAATTAAGTACCTTTTCATCTGGTTTATGTTTTGTAAAATGCAGCAGTATTATTTTATTATCTGCATGAAATCATATCACTTCGTGAAGGGTTCTGTAAATTGTTTTTAGTAAAGCGCAGCTTTGGTGTTGCTATATAAAATACAAATAGCTGTCTTAAAGACATTTTACTATAAAAGATATAAGCATAGTGACATAAATTTAATAAGCATTTAATAATTTTTATTAACTTTTCATCTTTTGTATCTTTGCATTTCACACTTTATTCTACTACTACTGAAGACCGTTAAATATGTGGTCTTATTTTTGGTGTCCAGCACACTTCTCTCTGCTCCTATTCACATGACATTTAAGCTTTATTCCGCATTATAAATTTTGGCTTTGTCAGCAACGATTTGGGCAGGCGGAAACGGAAATGGACAGAAAACCGACTTCGCTGCAGTCGAGTTACGAAATTCAAATTCTGTGTTTGAGAGCCTTTGGCCTCTAATCAGGAGCAAGCGCTGATAATTGCCTGGTCAATGGAGTTGGGCGGCTAGGCAGCTGGGCGTGAGCCTGTCCATCGCCCCATCACCACCCCCAGCCCCATCCCCTATGCTGAGCAATCTAATAGGGCGTGAAATTTGAAAGCTTTTGCGTGGCAAATTCATGTGTGCAAAATTTGCAACGGGGGCATGTGGGTTTGGCAAGAGGTTGAAAGTGGGGCGGTGGACAGTAAGTGCTTAAAGTGGGGGCTAATGAAACTCATTGCATGGCACATTGCACATTGGCAGAGCTACCTGGTATCTTGTCGACGAGTCCAGTTCGTCCCGCTTGCGTTTGACCTTTGGGTTCAGGCCGTGGCTCACGTTTATTGCAACGTTTTCATTTCCTGACCGAAACGAAAATGATTTACATAAATGTAGAAGAAAATGAAATTTGGCTAAAATGCAGGTAAATGAGTTGAGCCGAAGGAAAAAAAATTCAAATTTTTAATATACATTATATATATATATATAAATATACATACATTAGTTTTTATTAATATTTTCCTTTCTTGTTACATTAGTAAAAAATTGTATTGTTCTTTAGAAATTTATTGTTAATATTTTTAGATTATATTAAAAATTATTAATTTATTTATTTATTAAAACATTGAACGATTTTGTCAATATATAAATAATTGTAAATTGTAATAATATTTTTTTATATTCATTTTTTTATATTATTCGATTGGCGTATTTGTAATATAATTAAATTAGAAAAATATGAAAATTTTGTAAATTTATTTATATTTTATTTTACATTATTTTGCAAGAAAAAATAAGAGACTCTATGAAATAGGTGAAGAACTAAAATAACAACAATGTTAGTTTAACCGTTATAACAATGTGGCTAATGGCCGGCAACAACTGTTTTTAATGCTTTCTTTTTGTCGCCCAATGATAAAAGGCAATCAAAGGCAGCCGCCCCATCCCATAGCCCTTTGCGAGCAACAGCTGTTGCGGGACAAAACGTTAAAGGTAAAGGCAAAGTGTGCCCAAGTGACCCAGAACTTGTTGTGGGTGGGAGGTGCTGAATGTAACTGCGCCCACTTCGAATGTTATATTCGCTCAATGAAAAAATGGCCAGCAATAGCGCAACGAAGGCAGCCAAAACAGTTATTTGTTGTGACAGACTGCTAACAATATAACAGATGCTGTGTATATTTATCAATAACATCATATAAGAGCTAGTAACAGTGGCAAGTTAGTAATAACATAAATGGTAACAGCTACTCACTTACATATGTGCAGCATTACAATTTAAAGTTAACAGTTTAAGAGAAGTGTAACATAAGCAGAGGCAAAACTTACAGTGAAGAGACGAACTGGGCAAATAACATCGTCGAGTGCCTAACAGACTAAAATATTCAATTTAAAACGCGCGTGAATTTCTGTTGGTATTTTTTAGTATTTTTTAATTCTCTTGGTAAATATACCAACCAATGATTAGAGATATAATAATATGGTGTATATTTTGGTTATCAAATTAAATGAAAGCATTAAAAATTGCTTTAGTTTTAAATAAAAATCTTATGTAACCGCAAGCTTTAATATAGTTTATAAAATTTTTATTTATTTAAACAAATTATTTAGAGCATTCGTGAAAATGTCGTGTGAACTTATCGACTGGCCGCCACTAGTTATCGGATGACTAGCTATCGCCTGCGCATCATAATAAAAGTTAAATTTACGGAAATCTTGCATTTAAATTACAATTTAATGATGGATGTAGTGAAAAAGAATAAAAAGTACTCCATTGTATTTCGCTGCACTGTGCCCAAATGCTCCTATTCAAGCAAACGGCTCTACAATCTGCAGCGTCATGAAAAAACCCACGGCAAGGAGCACTGGCGCTCCAAAAGATTTCCCTGTCCCTGTTGTGCCTACGCGGCAGCCACTCGGGCGCATCTGAAGCGTCATATGGGCAACAAGCATCCGACGGAGGATATATCGAAACACAACATAACTGTCCTCGCCTACGAAGATTTTGAGAAGCCGGCGGAACAATTAAAGTCGGATTCAGTGGAGCAAAAACGACCAAGGGAACAGCTGAAAGCCACGAAAGATAAACAAATAGAGAGCGAACAGGAACAGCAGGAGCAATTGCTTGTGGGCCCAGTTACAGTGCTGCAATTGGTGACGCCATTGAGTCCGCAAGCGAAGCCCATACCAGGTGAAATGTATTGCAATGTCTCATTGGAAGGCGAAGCCTTTCGCTTGATCCCTGTGGAGCTTTTGCCCGCAGAGGTGGTCAGCCAGGAGCTCTAACATCAATATACATAGCGAAAGCCACCGACCGATCTTCACATGTGAGATATTTTTTAAACACCTTGATGAGACAGAGGGAGAGAGAAAGAGAGAACAGCATAAATTATTTCCCAATACGTTTCTAATCTAATCTAAATTTTAGATCTATATTCTGGCAACCGGAATTGGAGGTATTCATAAACAGGTGCAGCTGCATTTAGTTGGAATGGAAAGGAATCACAATACAGGGCAAAGGAATATTCAGTCTACAAAGGAATCACAATAGAAAATCAAGCAATATTCAGTCAAATGAAATTAGTAATGAAATGAATGATTCAATTTATGATTGAGATAAGGATTTGGCAGAGATATGAGGAATGCGCAAGTATGCGCCACATACAGAGGACGGAAAACAAGTATGCCAAAGGATCGGCGCGATATATAGATCCTTCTCTGATTTAGCCAATTCTTCAATCAAAGATAATCTCACGTAGACTTAAAATCGGAGCCATGTATTGTACTAAAGTGTAGGGAATAGAGAGAATAAATCTTCCAGCAAGCGCAAACAGTGGACAAAATTGTTGTCAGCAATAGAAAATATGTCAATAATAGTATATAAGTATATTTAATGTATAAGTACGAACTAAACGGAAACAATTTTGAAGCCCATTCGCAAAGTGGAAAAACCTCAAATTTCGAAAGCGATAATTAACGTTTATATGGACTGTTGCCGAATAAATTGAAAGTGAAATTCATAAGTTCTTGTTACCAAATACTAAGTTTTTTTAAAAAGAATATTTAACTTATTTTTAAATTAAACATTTTAATATCACTTTAAATACAATTAACCTTAGATATATTTAGTGGGTACTAAGTGAATGTGCCTTTGTATATAATGTACGAGTAAGTTTAACAATAAACGATATATTTTAATACAGTTTTTAATTGTTTATATTAAATAAATTAGTATGAAATTTAAATACAACAGTCGGTTAGCAGAAATGTTATCTATTGTGCGCTCTGCCACTGTTAAGTACATTACAAGTATGAGAGAACGTTGCTGTTAACGCCACAGCCATTTTGAGTTTAGCAGCGGTAATTCATATCGCAGGTATAAGAGCAGTGTTTAGTCTGCATACGACTTCGACTTGGAACGGTTGGTGTTAGCGCGTCGCGGCAATGTGAGCGGCTAAATATCGAGTGCGAGTGAAACAGCAATAAAAAAGAAGTGATTTCGTGTGAGTGTGCAAAGAAGAAGCAAATCGAAAACGGAATAACGGTGCATACGCATGGAAATCAAACAAAAAACCGCCGAGTGCAACTGTAGCGCGTTTTTTTACAATAAAAATAAAATTTCAATTAAATTTAATAAATTTCTGAATTGTTGTCAACTGTAGCGCAGCAGCAGCATCAGCTATAGCTAACAAATACAAAGTGAAGTGCAAAAACAAAAACCGGTTCGCCTCTGCAACAGCATCAGCAGTGGCAACAACAACAGCAAAAAACTCAAAAGCAAAGGCAAAGTAAAGGAAGGCAAAGCCAAAGGCAGTGAAAGAATTTTTGTTGCTTTCTGGGTGTTTGTTTGTGTGAGTAAGTGTGCGTGTGTGTCCGTTTTTGTGTGCCTGTGTTAGTGCAAAGAAAAGGCAGCAGGAAAAGGCAGTTGGAATTTGTCGTTGTCGTTGCCGCTGCCGGCTTCGCTGCTGCTACTTTGATTTTTTGGGCCCAGGTGAAGAATTTGTATAGCCAATGCAAACCTGTTCAACAACAACAACACATGCAACAAAAACAACAACAACAAAACAAAACAGCGAAAAAAAAGTGGCACAAGTGAAAATTCCAGAGTTGCGAGCGTATTTGTTTGTGTGTGTGTTATTTTTTTGACAGTCTTGGCCAAAAGTGAAAATCAATTTGCTGAGTGTGCGCGGGCCACAAACACAAAGAGAGAGAGAGAGCGAGAGAGCGCACGAACCTTCGTCCTTTTGGGCCAAAAATACCAAAAAACGTACCAGGCGAGAATGAAAACGAAAACTTGACGAAAAATCTACCGAATGCCGATAAAAACAATAACAACAACGACGAAGAAGAGCAACACAAAGCAAAAAGTAAACAAGCTGTGCAATACAACAACTACAACAGCAACATCAGTAACACAGACAAAAAATAAAGAAAAGGTCAGTATTCTAGTTACGCCTATGTTAAATGCATAAATCGTATAGGACTTAAGAAGAATAACAACAAATATATATAAATTATATGTTTTCCAGTCCTGTGGTGACTGAAAGTTAGGTTGAGAGGCGACTGTGCCTCTTATTGCTGGCCTCGGGCTCAGACAATGAAATAAGCCATTTAACGAGCAAATGACGGAGTGAATATTTATTTAAGCGGTTTACTGGAAGAACGCTTTTTAACCCTGCTTTTAATTGTTCTTTTTTGAATAATCGAAACAGTTAATTTTATTGGTTTTTCTTATTATATTCACTATTTTTAGTTTTACTTATATGACACCAATTTTTAGCATGTCCTATCAGTACGAGTTAAAACACGAGACTGATCTATATTTTTACAAATCATAGCCTCACCGGCGTAAGTAGAGTTGCCCTTGCCAGGGCTGTTCCTTAACTTGTCTAGCACCCGATAATAAGTGTTGAATAATACCTTACATTAAGTGTTATAAGCTAACTAAGTGTTATAAGTTAACTACCCCCCCCTCAAGTGTAAGGTCGTCCTCGACCGACCCAATTCCAGCGACGACTCCTCGCAAGTGCTTCGCGGACTTCTTTGCGTCGATGATCCACCAAAGAGTGAAGCCAATGCAGATTAAAGCACAGCATATGGCTCCTCTTTCGGAGTGCCGTACAACGACACATCATCAAAGTGCACCATTTCGGTTCCTTGGTCGCATATTAGCAGCGGTGACCAGCGAGTCGGTGCAGGTGTTCTCGAATGAAATCCGCAAGTCGTTCTCATTCACATTCAATACGGAGCAGTATGAGCAGCGTACTGATTCTTCGCTATCGCCGTTCAGCAGGCGCTTACTAAGCTTGCTCTTGCGCCTACGTATGTGGCGTCTGTTGAAGCTGTTGGTGCACGACGTGGACGTGGGCCTTGGCATCGGATGATGCATACCAAAGTTGTGCAGCTGCAGCGACTTGAGTGTGGCTGGCGCCGTCGATGACTGGCCGTGCACGTGCCCGTGATGGCCGTGATGACTGTGTCCCACCACTCCAGCGATGCTATGAGCCGTTACTGGACGAGTGATGTGTGTAGTCTGTCGGCGCGCTCAGCTGGCGATTGAATTCGGCCTTGCGGCGCGTCAAGTCCGTCAGGCAGTATTTGTTCAGATGGCCGTTGCTGGAGACAGGGCTCTTGGGCGATGATGCCAGATGCTGCGTATAGGCCGAAGGAGTTGCTGCTCACGCTTAGCTTATTGCCGGCGTTGTGCAGCAGATTGTTACAGTTCTTGCCGCTGATCTTGGCCGACTTTTGCCCGTCGTCGGTATCGTGTTGCTGCTGCTGCTAGCCGCCCTGTACTCCTTGTCGTCGCTCTCGCTGCGCACCGATGCTCGATACGCAGGAAATGTCTTCGTCTTGCTCTTCAGAGAGCCGTTCAGCAGTAGCTGCTGTTGCCGTGCGGCAACTGCCGACAATGCCGGCAGCTGCAGTTGACGTGACGCCGCTGCCGATGAGGATGAGGATGAGCAGGCAGCCGTGGCAGGTGTCGACAGAGATGGGCAGCGGTTGGAGCAACCTGTGGCTGTGAAACTTCTTGAATTAATGCAGTTGGCGGTGTTTTGGGGATTTCTTGACTTGGTTCTAGTATGGATGAAGAGTCGCTTGGCTCTGCCGCCGCGAAGAGTTCGTTAGTTGTTGCTGGCTGATGAGCTTCTACTGTTGGTGGTGGTGCCGTGAACAAGGGGGTTTCCTCAACGATTCCGCTTGTAGATTTGCATGCTGTGGTTCTGGCTTAGCATCCAACTATGGGGCGAATAGAGCTGTTGCTGGTTCTTGTGGACGACAGGATAAATCGTAATTTTTCTGCAGGCTTTTTTAATTTTTGGGAATTTGGTTATAAAATGTATAGTGTTGATGGATTCCTCTAGCCAAATTGATTTTAAATCTGAGGAGTCCAAAATGTTTGGGCTAACAATGAGCCTTCGCGAGAGTAATAGCAAGCATTAAACTTTGCAACTCCATCGTCCGCATTCTGTTTCTGGACAGTGTTTCAGTGTTTCAAATAAATAAATCAATAAAATCAATTTGTGAGTTTTGGCTATCCCGAGAACTCCACTGACAGCAAATGTTAACTGGTTAAGTTGGTCTTGAACCTCAGTGTTTACTTCTATCCGTCTACTGTTGGCATTCATTAGTCGCATTTCAGTGGACCTAGTCTGCTCTAAATCACCGGCATCGGGTGTACCCGCCACCAAATTGTTTTATAAAAATTATGCCAAGTGGCTAAAGGTAAATTGAAAAACTATATCTAACTTATTCTAAATTGCCTAGCGGCTTATAATAAAAGGTGTAATAAAAAAACAAGGGAGTCATCTTAGGTTGTCCTTGTGGACCACCCTTCCTTTAATGAGGACCTCGGTCCCCAGGTCTGCTTCCACGGCCTTCTCGACACATAAAGGTGTGAGTTTGTTTCCGAGCCGTCGGTTGGACTTGACCAAATCCTTGTCACCAACATCGAAGACTCTATTCTGCCGCTTTGCGTTCTCCCTAGCTCTGAGCGTCGTCTGAGCGTTTCTGATCTTTTCTTCTATCTTTTCTTGTGGCTCTTGTTTTTTGGGGTGTCTATCATACTTAGCCCTAGCACATGTTTTGCAGTTTTGTACCATTTCCTTGGCAATTTTTGCCATCCGTGGAAAGTAGTACTCCGAGAGTACCTGCTTAACATTTTCCTGTGCAGACCTATGGGCCCTATTATGCTCGACTGTGAGGATTTCCCTTCCTTCTCCAACCGCAAATATGTCCACTACGCGATTTTTGCAATGCCAGAACTTTGTGGCTGGGTATCTTCGCACCAATGCATCTTGTATCATTGCAAGCGTGTGTAAATTACAGTGGAGAGCATTTACGCATTTGGGTGAGACTACATCTTCGAGCTCGTCTAGCAGCGATTCGACGCATGTATAGCTGATCAAGTAGCGTTTCTTATTTCCAAAAAGAATAAAACTTCGTTTTAAGGGGAAACGCGCCTCTTCTAGCACTATCTGGTTTTGAAAACAGTTCAAGGGTTTGTCTGTCGTCTCAATGGTGTTGGTGAGAGATACCTCACTGTGGATCGTTGCTGCGCAGGACTCAATTTCTTGCTCATTTATAGCGTTGAGCTGCTGTCTTGACAAGGCATCCGCAACCAGATTGTCCTTGCCAGGTTTATAGAAGATACGTGCATTAGACTCGTCAATGCGCGCTTTCCACCTTTTGATTTTCGCATTTGGATTAGATTCCGAAACTGCGAAGGTCAAGGGTTGATGGTCAGTGAAGATATTAATGTCTTTCACCCCATACAAATAGTGCCTTAATTTGGCAAGTGACCATACAATGGCCAATAACTCTCTCTCATTGGTTGCATAGTTAACCTCACTGTCCTTCAATGTTCTTGAAATCATTGTTATAGGACGACCCTCTTGAGACAAAACTGCACCTATGCCGTGAGCCGAAGCATCGGTCGTTAGATCGAATGGCTTCTTAAAATCGGGGTACCTGAGCATTACATTCTCGGATGACAAAATATCGCGCAACTTCTGAAATGCCCTCTGC